AGTCTTGAGTCATTTCACAATCTGGATTTTACGCTGCACCACTCCACCAGACATTCTACAAGACATCATCTTTATTTCAATCTTTCTTGAAGCACATCACAACAGACACAGGGATTCCAGAAGTCATGACATCAGGCTGTGCCAGTCATTTCACCTCCATCCCCTTTACCCACTATCTCTCCTCGCTCTCTCTTTTCAGGGACCCTTCTCATGAGGCTCTCCTAAGGCAGGACGTACAACCCTCCTGCTCTTGGGGGCAACTGAATCAGTTTCCCTCTTTCTTCTGGATAGTTCTCCAGATAGTTCTACTTCAGGTACTTCGTGGTACCTAAGAAAAAAGGAGGATGGAGATGAATCCTGGACTCTGAACACATTAATTCAAATACAGAGGTTCAAGATGGTAACCATAACAGCAGTAATACAATCATTCGATCCAGGAGAGTGATTTGTGGCCCTTGGCCTTCATATTTACATATGGTAGTGCATCCAGCTCACAGATGCTTCCTATAGTTCGTCATCGGCAACAACCACTATCAGTATTGAGTACTTTCCTTCAGCCATCTGGCCACCTGGAGTCTTTACAAAGGTCGTCTTCGTTGTCACAGCCAATCTGCAGCAAATAGGAATAGTCATCTTCCCCATCTGGATGACTGGTTCTTCAATGGTCATTTCTTCCCTGAGGTTGTCTGCAACCAACGAAATCCTAGTCATCTTCCACGCCTTGGGCCTTTGACTCAGTGCATAAAAGTCTACCTTGACACCTGTCAGTAGCAGTTGGTCTTAAAACTGACTGTATTAGGGCTACTGTAGTATCATTTCAACTGTAGCAGGTAATAGCATAGTAATAGTAGTTAGCTACCTGGAGTTCTGTTTTATGCAGCAGTAATCTCCTCACTTGGCATTCCCAGTGAGTACTTCGGTTCTTGTGGAATGGGAACTCTTCAGCCCACCTTCTTGGGTGCGGTACTGCTAGCTAAGTGCAGACATGCAGGAAAATGCAGATGCCACCTGAAAGAATACATAGAGGTTACTTGCTAGTAAATGTGGCTTTTTAAGAATGTTGCTTCTGCATACTCTCACTGCTTATCCACCTTTCTTCTTTTCTCTGTGTTCTACTTTGATAAGGACTCAGGGGCTTTACAGAAAAATTGAAGCAGTTGGAGACCACATGGCCTCTTATAACATTGGTTCTAAATGTTTGGCAATCTGAGGTTACATGTGAGTTTCCAATTGGCATTGCGTTTCTAGAAGAGTCCTTAAGTTTAGAAGCAAGTGTCAAAATGTAGAGTTGACTCTCTCAAAGATCCTCAGTTACTGTTGGAGTAGGCTTTCTCTTTCTTCTTTAGATCCTTTGAAGTGTTTCCCTGATGTATTTTGTAGTAGTGCAGCTCATTGTTTATGTACGGTTGGTTGCTTCCAAAATAGATGAACTCTTCTGAAGAGGTGGTTTTCAGTGTATGCAGTTCTGGAATAAAAATTATAACTACTTTGCTTTAAGACTTATTATAATAAAATCTCTCCTTGGAGATATGCATCATTTGTGTCTTAGGGCAGTTTCATCTCCAAAGGTTCAATCAATGATCATAAAGTGTCATCCAGTGAAATGTAATCTGTGTATCCAAAGGTAATTTTTTTTTCATGACTTGATTATAGTTTCAGAAAATAGCAATAAAAATGAGTTGACCCCTTTTAGTATTTTGCAAATATTCTTTATGACCCTGATAGCTATACTAGAGAAACCAAATCGCTTCAGTTTCCCAGAATGGCTCCCTATAGGTTTAGTTGAAAGCCTGTCTTAAATAAAGCTTACCGGTAATGAGTGATTGAATGAACCTTTTCTCAGTGATTTGTCACAATGTGGAAATCTGATCAGTACAATCTCTCTAGTTTTTAGAAAGCCTGAATACACCTGCCTTATCAACTGTATCCTTTTACTACAGAAAGATAAACCCAAGGGAAACATTACTTGTAATGGACAGCAAGTTGACTCTTCTGTAGTTATTTATATTAGCTGAGATCCCCTTTTGAAATATCATTAAATGTTTATTCATCTGCTGCTATCCTGTCACTATCCCATACAAACCTGCAAGGCTGTTCAACCTCATTTTTTCATTTAGCTTTCAGACTTTAACATGTGATTTTTGTCCTGTTTTTATATTCTGGGATGATTTTTTTGAATCATGTTGTTTAATTCAGTTGACATGTTTAGTTTTCCAGCTGACTTCTGTGTTAAATGTGCCACATTTTTTTTTATAAATTTAGTCTTAAATCATTAGTTTGTCTTAATTATATACACATATTACTCAGTCCATGTATCTTAAACATACATGATTTGTCTCTGAAAAGCTCACGGTTACTAATACGATTTTTAGGAAACTTATGTCTCCCTATGATGCTTCCTGTAACCTGTCCATAACTTTGCTTAAAAAAAAAAAATCTTTGTAATTGACTAGATGGAGTTTTGTTAAATTCTAGCTAATATTTTCTTAGTGAAGACTAGGATCTGTGTTTTTAATCAATCTTTGTTTCTTACTCGTATGTCCCTTCACTTTCTTTTTCTTATCTTTAAGCCCGTGCTCTGATCCACTATGATTTGTATTTATTCAGCACTTGCTCTTGCCTTCATCTGTTCCTTTATATTGCAAGTGTTCTAGGATTTGAAATATCTGACTGAACAGTTGACCTTTTATCTAGCTCTCTTTAAATCCCCCTCCAGTTTCTTTTTTCATACTGATAAACTGTCATTTTTTCTATAATTGCCTACATTTTCTCCTGAAATGCCTCTTTCAGAGATAGCTGACTAATGTGTTTTATTAATTATGCTGTAGCATTTGGATATCTGTAAATTTGTGGTTTCTCCATGCATAACCCCCCCTCCCCCCCATTTTGACAAGGACCATCTAATATAGAGAGACAGCTCCATTCCAATAGGCTTGTGCATAATTATTTTCACTTATATGCTCTCCCTGTATACCAAAGTCTGTGATAATTATATTCATTTTTATTGTATGCGTTCATGCTGATGATGATTTCTGTTTGATAACTTTTCAAAGCAGTGCAGACCGACGCATGTTCATTTTCATCTTCTGAGTCATATATCACCAGCAGAAGGATTTTCTTTTTTGGTGGTTTGGGTTCTGTAGTTTCCTCATCAGAGTGTTGCTCTTTTAAGACCTCTGAAAGCATACTCCACACCCCGTCCTTCTCAGATTTTGGAAGGCACTTCAGATTCTTAAATCTGCGGTCGAGTGCTGTAGCTATCTTTAGAAATCTCACATTGGTACCTTCTTTGTGTTTTGTCAAATCTGCATTGAAAGTGTTCTTAAAATGAACAACGTGCTGGGTCGTCATCCAAGACTGCTATAACATGAAATATATGGCAGAATGCGGGTAAAACACAAAGCAGGAGACATACAATTCTCCCCCAACGAGTTCAGTCACAAATTTAATTACTACATTATTTTTTTAATGAGTGTCATCAGCATGGACGCGTGTCCTCTGGAATGGTAGCCGAAGGATGAAGGGGCATACGAAACTTTTTGCATATCTGGCATATAAATAGCTTGCAATGCTGGCTACAAAAGTGCCATGCGAATGTCTGTAATCACTTTCAGGTGACGTAAATAAGAAGCGGGCAGCATTATCTCCCGTAAATGTAAACAAACTTGTTTCTCTTAGCGATTGGCTGCACAAGAAGTAGGCCTGAGTGGACTTGTGGGCTCTAAAGTTTTACTTCATTTTGTTTTTGAGTCCAATTATGTAACAAAAAGAAATCTACATTTGTAAATTGCGCTTTTACGATAGAGATTACACTACAGTACTTGTATAAAGTGAATTGAGGTGAATTTTATTGTTTTTACAGTGCAAATATTCGTAATAAGAATAATATAAAGTGAGCACTGTACACTTGTATTCTGTGTTGTAATTAAAATCAATATATTTGAAAATGTAGAAAAACATCTAAAATATTTAATAAATTTCAGTTGGTATTCTATTGTTTAACAGTGCAATTAAAACTGCGATTAATCATGATTAATTTTTTTTGAGTTAATCGCGTGAGTTAACTGCTATTAATCGATAGCTCTAGTAGCAACATTGTTGATCAAATTGATAATTTTTTGAAAATACAGTTTGTCTCATGTTTACTATATGTTTCTTTTCTTGGCGTTATTTCATTTTTCTTCTTTTCTGTTTCAGAATGGTAGCCATGTTAGTCTGTATCAGCAAAAAGAACGAGGAGTCCTTGTGGCACCTTAGAGACTAACAAATTTATTTGGGCATAAGCTTTCGTGGGCTAGAACCCACTTCTAGCCCATGAAAGCTTATGCCCAAATAAATTTTTTAGTCTCTAAAGTGCCACAAGGACTCCACATTGTTTTTGCTGATACAGACTAACACATCTGAAATCATTCACTTGTCTAGGGGCTTTCTTAATTTCTGAGAGTCTTTGTGATACTGGTTTATACAAAAGTGACTTTTTATTTCATAGAGGAGTCACTTTAGCACATTATATAAACCTTCACTTTATAGGTTATTGATATAGATAGATTAATAGCACACAGTGGTCTTTTGTAGTTATCTTTATGAAATTACTATCGGGAAAAATTACAGTGCATTAATGAAACAAAATAGCTCTCATTTGAATTTTGTTCCTAAATACCCAGAAAACATTACTCCAGTTTTGTTTCTGAGCTGTAAATACAGACAAAGCCATTTAATTACTTTTATATTTTATATATATATATATATAAAAAACTTAAAGAAACATTAACAAGATTTGTAGGTCCAAAATGTGGCCTAACATCTCCACACCCTGTTATTATTTTTACGGTTACATTTTTCTTTAAATGTGTGCATTTATCAAAATTACTGCGCACTAAATTTTCTATAGTAATATATAGTGTAGCTGAATGACTATTTTTAACAAATGTTCAATATAAGCAGTTCTTGCTAGAAAGAATGATCAGTAAAAATGTTATTTTAATATTCCTATATTGCAGAAGAGAAGATCAAATCGTCAAGTTAAAAGAAAAAAGTATGCTGAGGAAGGAGAAGGAAAACAGTCCGAGGAAGAGGCTAAAGTTTCTGTGAAAATCAAAAAGAGTTCTGCGCCTTTGCCTGCTGAGCAACCCTTACAGTTATTTGTGGTAAGTAAAAATCCAGAACTGTGAGTAGTGTGAACCTTCCAACTAACTTCACTATATCCTGGGTAAAGCTTATTTTGTTAGCCTTATTTGGCTGACTTAGGTCAGTGACCCAGTAATTATGATGCACAGTAGCAGTTGCCCAGATTCCACACAGTTATCCTCTGCTTTCCAATTTTCAGGTCATCTGGTGTCTGACATAAATACTACTTATGTGGAAAGCTGCAGCAAAAACAGTTCATCCATTATTGAGAACTGGGTTAGAGAAAATGACATTGTTTTGCCAATGTTACAAAATTATTGCAACTGTTTCATTGAGAAGTTATGGCACCTCATGCTTTTGTGCAGAGACTTGAAACCTGGTTGCTGCTATATCCTAGGATCAGAGAAATGCCTGTACCTGTTCTTTTGAAAATCCACCCCAATTTAGCCAAATTATAAGCCTCTAAAAATTACCATTTCCACATGCTCCAAAGAGGTTTGTTAGAAAATGGCAGCAAAATTCTCTGGACATTGCATTTCCACTGAGCATGCTCCACATCTACAGAACAGCCATGTTCCAGTCCAGAGCTGAACTGGACTTTTCCTGCAGTTGCTCCTTCTGGCTGTTGATGACTTCTGTGACTGTGGGCACCAGAGCTGAGAATAAGGAGACTTTCTCTCTTGTGTTCTCAATACTCCCCCTGTTGGAACCTAGGCAGGAAGGAAGAGACCGAAGCCAACTTTCTTGAATTCCTTGGGTTCAGTAATAGAGGGGTGGGGGGAAGAGCAGTCCATTGGTGGACAGGTACAGGGGATAAGAGAAGGGAAATAGCAACATATTTGAGGGATGGACAGGAGTAGAGGGAAGAATGGTACAGTCTGGGCCAGGGTTTCTGAACCTGTGGAGTCACGACCCAAAATTGGGTTCCATGTGTGTCAAAAGGTCGCATAGGAGGCCTGGGGAATGGGTATCTGGGGGCAGGTTCTGCCTTTGGGGAGGGAGTTGCAGAGTCTACCCCTCATTCATTCTGCAGTGGCAGTTCCCAACGTGGGGCTGGCTGGGCTCTGCTCCCCACTTGGGGCATTTTGCAATATGGTGCATGGGGTTGCAGTGCTGTTCAGGTTTAGCTCAGATGCCCTGCTGGCATGATGTAGGGTGAGGGAGAAAATTAGAGTAAGTGGTGCTGAGTCAGAGGGGCTACTCCAAACCTGAGGGGTGCTGCAACCTCAGAGGTCACAGTGCCTGGGAACAGGGAGGTGAGCCCAGCTAGCACCAATGGACAGGAGCTGCCACTACAGTGTGCAAGTTGTAGTTATTTAGTACTTGTTATGTTAATGGGGATATTATATATTGTGGATAAGAAATATTTAGTAAGCCACAAGTGTTTTGCACTAAAGCTATTTAATGCATTGTGACAGGCCATCAAGGTTTACAAATGAATCCTGAGCCCCAAAAAGATTGAGAACCTGTGGCCTAGGCAGGGACAGGAGCAGAGTGGGACTGTTATGTGCAAAGAGTAATAGAAGAGGGAGTGACAAGAACTGAAGGGAATATGCTGTTGAGGGACATTCCAGGAGACAGGCAGAAGGAGACAGACAGGTAGGCTAAGAGGATCTGTAACCACTAGATACATCATTCCCTCCCAAAACCTGGAATAGAGTCCCAGTGTGCCTTTGATGTCAGCAAATATCAATGAAACTCATTGGCCAAGTGTGTGTTTATCTTCCTTTACTGGCAGGCCTACTTAGACTTTAATAGCCCACTTCTTCACTAGATCAAATGGTATAGAGGTCTTTGCTGTGGCTAAAGGTCACAAGAGTACAAGAATGGCTTACGGGGTAAGACCAATGGTCCATCTATCCCAGTATCCTGTCTCTGATAGTGGTTTCCATCAGATGCTTCAGAGGGAATGAATTATAACAGGGCAATTTTGAGTGATTTGTCATCTGTCATCCAGACCCAGCTTATGACAGCTGGAAATCTAGGGACACCTGGAGCATTGGGTTGCATCCCTGACCATCTTGTCTATATAGCCATTGATGGACTTGTCCTCCATGAACTTGTCTAGTTCTTTTTTGAACCCAATTATACTTCTGGCCTTCACAACATCCCCCGGCAACAAGTTCGACAGGTTGACTGTGCATTGTGTGAAGAAGTATTTCCTTATGTTTGTTTTAAATCTACTGCCTGTTAATTTTATTGAGTGTCCCATGATTCTTGTGTTATGTGAAAGGGTAAATAACACTTCCCTAGTCACTTTCTCCATACCATTCATGATTTTATAGAGCTCTATAATATATCCCCTTAGTCATCTCTTTTCTAAGCTGAACAGACCCAATCTTTTTAACCTCTCCTTGTATGGAAGCTGTTCCATATCCCTAACCATTTTTGTTGCCCTTTTCTGTACCTTTTCCAATTCTAATATATCTTTTTTGAGATGGGGCGACAAGAACTGCATGAAGTATTCAAGGTGTGGGTATACCATGCATTTATATAGTGGCATTATGATATTTTCTGTTTTATTGTATATCCCTTCATTATTTTATTATCTATCCCTTCTGTTTTATTATCTATCCCTTTCCTAATGGTTCCTAACATTCTGTTAGCTTTTTTGACTGCCGATGCACATTGAGCCAGACGTTTGCAGAGAACTATCCACAATGACTCCAAGATCTTTAAGTGGTAACATCTAATTTAGACCCCATCATATTGTATGTATAGTGGGGATTTTTCCAGTGTACACTACTTTGCACTTAGTGACACTGAATTTCTTCTGCCATTTTGTCACCCAGTTTAGTGAGATACCTTTGTAACTCTTTGCAGTCAGCTTTGCAGTCTGCCCTCACTGTTCACCTCTTTTTCTAAATCATTTATGAAGATGTTGAACAGCACAGATCCCAATATCGATTCTCAGGAGATCACACTATTTACCTTTCTCCCTTACGAATACTAACCATTTATTCCTACCCTTCATTTCCTGCCAGTTCCAGTTCTGTTGGTGGCCCATGTTGGGGTCAGTCTGATACCACATTATGGAATTTTGTTTTTTGTATTTGCTTAAAAAAAACAACCCACACTTTGGCAAGGGGTTGTGTGGAAAAAAAATATGATGTGATCATGTAATTAAAAATTGTCTTATGCATTTGCACAAGGGGGCAGAATTATGGCAACCTTTGTTCTGATCTTCCTGAACTTCCGAGTGGTGGACTTGGAAACCTTAACTTTCTTTTAACATTGTTTTTTTTGTATATATGTATTTCTGTTTTGTATGTAATAACTTAAGACTTGAGATATGGAATATTTTTCTACAAATTGGGGCAATTGCAAGACATTTTTCCTTTGCGTTTTTTCTTTTATAAACTGCACACACCCACACACTGATGCCTGTCTCCACCTTTTTTCTCTTTTTGTACCTTTTGCCTTCTTTCTCCTTTTTTTCCCTTGCCATGTTTGATACCTTTTTTTTTTTTAACTTCTTCCATTTCCACTTCTTTATGCTTATGTTTGTTCCTTTTGTCCCTGGTTTTCTCTTTCACCATCTTTGCAGAGTTAGCAGAACTGCAGCGCTTTACACATGACTGATTGGAGAGAAAAACTGACTAGCATCCTAATCACTTTTCCCTATCAGTCCTCTTACTGTCCATGTAAAGACTCTTTTCAGCTACCAAGAGCAGGCTGCTAAGGGAAATGGTGTGTATGTTCACCACAACAGATAAACTTTCCATCTCACTATATAAAAATTTTGCTGTAGAAGCAACCTGAGAAGGATAAGTTACCTTTCCTCTTCTGATGTTGTGGAGTAAGCTGCAAAGGTAACAGGTAACAGCTAGCTCCATGTGCAAAGTGATGAAGTGCTGCTACTTCTGTTTCTTGCAGGTTTGGCAGCCCTGGCTTACTGAGGGCTTGATCTGACGCCCATTGAAGCCAATGGAAATATCCCAATTGACTTCAGTTGGCTTTCTATCAGGACTTCAGTGTTCTTGGAGTAATTGTTCCTATGGGTGCTCCACATGTCTGTGTGCCTCTGATCAGAGATTTTGGATAGCAGTGTCCATATGGCCCATGTCTGCACTTTGTATACCCTCATACCCCAATCTGAGAGCATATTAAGCAAGGCTGACCACTGCTGCTCCTGTTCCTTCTTCACTGCAAAATCCAGCCTAATGCAAGGACTCCAAAGTAAAGGAGAAGGAGGGCAGGTAGTAGAGTACTTATAGGGACAAAACATCTTGAAGAACTCCAGTTACTGTACAAGTAAGTAGTCTTTCCTTCGAGTAATTGTCCCTAAGGGTGCTCCATTTAAGGTAGCTCCTAAGCAGCGTCCATGTTAAGGGGGCAGGTGCTGAGGAAGCCTGTCTAGTAGAGACTGGAGAAAGGCCATCGCAAAGGCTGCATCTGACGTATAAGCTTTATGCTAGGGCGGAGTGCCGAGAATAGGTGTGTTTCTAACTCTTATGATTCACAAGGCATAGGGCCTTAAACCTGTCACTGTTCCAAGCACTTTACCTATCCAGATCTTCAGAGCAATGTAACTATGGAGGGAATTTGCCTATCAAGCACTTCAGACCGGTGAAACTATGAAGGAAAATACCATGGTTTGAGGGGAAGGAAGGACATTTTTGTGGAAAGGGGTTTTTAAAAGAACTGAACTGTTCAAAAGATGAAGCAATTTGGAGTACAGCAACTCCTCACTTAAAGTCGTCCCGGTTAACATTGTTTCGTTGTTATGTTGCTGATCAATTAGAGAACGTGCTCATTTAAAGTTGTGCATTGCTCCCTTATAACGTTATTTGGCAGCTGCCTGCTTTGTCCACTGCTTGGACGAAGAGCAGCCAGTTGCAGCTAGCTGGTGGAGGCTTGGAACCAGGGTGGCCCAGCAGCCCTCTATCCGCTCCCCACTCCCGTAAGTTCCCTGGTCAGCAGCCGCCCAGCAGGCTACCAGTTGCCAGCAGTTCAGCTGTCCCTCCCCCCACTTGCTATGTGCTGCTCCTACATTAACAACAATGTGTTAACCCTTGAG